CAGCTTATCCTGCATGTACCTTACCTTTTGGAATAAGGTTAACACAAATGATCATTACGCCTCCAAGTAAGAGAGTTGAAGACTGACAGAGGCGTCTGGAGCAGTAGTGGAGCAGCAACAAGGCACTGAGGTATGCTGGAATCTCTGTGGCAGCAGACAGGAAGCAGTTCAGGTAAGGGTCACCATGTAGATTTGAAGTGTTGAGAGTTAAAGAATAGTAGTTCATGGAGATGACCATCCTGTCAAATGATTTAGAACAAGTTTTTAATACATATGGGACTAAAAGCATCGTCCAATAAACATTTCAAACTGTTTAATTATTCACATACCACAGACTTGAACAAATCAATGTTGTAGTGAAGATATTGCAGCTTTTCAGCAAAACCAAAATGTCAACCTTCTTGTTTTGCACTGTCAAAACTTTACCCACCTGTGACAACAAATGAGATACAATAAAGGCAGGGTAAAATGTGATGAAAAGCAATTGTATAAATTGAGAAAACAGACAAACCACAACAAGAAAGAAAAAATCAGATGTAATTTCATTATAAATACAGAACTATGCAGTACTGTTTAAATGGGTAAAGATCTTTTTGAATCTATACGTATGTTGCTGCTCTAATGACATTAAGGAACTGCATTCATATGTACCTCTGACTGTGTAAATATGGCTTCTGGTGCCTCTACTTTATTCTGCTTTGCTGCATCTTTAAGAATAGCTTCAGCTTCAGACACTCTTCCTTGAGACAGCAGCCAGCGAGGAGACTCTGGGATGTACCTGATCATGTAGAGAAAACTACCATATAAAAACATTATCCAAGCATGATGGCTTAAAAATCAGTTATCGCGAAAATATACACACACTTTAATCATTTGAAAGTGAAAATGGAGGTGTTATACTATAATTGTACATCTCCTTTATTACAAAAAACAAACAAAGACAAACTCCTAATATACAAAAACAATCGAAACCCCCGAGACATACTTTACAAAAATATGGTAAGCTTGAAATTAATAAACTCACAGAAAACTGTATTTTTTTGTGAAATATTCCTTCCTTAAGCACCAGAGAGGGTTTGGGTAGGATTTGTCATTGAATTACAGCATTCACACTTCCTTGATATGTCATGATTCCTGGCGCTAATGTTGGTTCAATTCATCCTTCAACAACCTGTCAGCTCCACCTCATTTTGTGTGAGCCTCCACCAGATCCACCTGCTCACTTGACTACATAACCAGCTCTCAGCCCAGCCACTAGTGCCAGATTATTATGAGCCATTGGTGAGTTTTGTCCAGCGTTCCTGTTACCTTTCTGCATGCCTAATTCTCGCCCGATTCTGCCTCCTGGTTCTCTGAGCCTGCCTGAACCCTATCAGACCTGTCATAGTGTTTTTTGGATCTCTGACCTGTTTTCTGTACCCTGACATTGTCCTCAGATTCACCCCTGCATTTAGTGTCTGGAAGCCAGACCCCGAACTTTGGTTTGTCCTCTTGATCATTCTGCCTGTCTCTGCTTTCACTAACCTGACCATGTGCATTTTCCTGGACAACCTAGAGTGATTTGGGAATCCTCTGAGTTTCACCAGTGGGGTCACACGCCAACCAGCATCTACAGAAACTCTCAAAGTTTGTTCTCTAACACAGAGAAGAAGTTCTGGTTGCTGACTCTGGTGAATCCTTCCCGCCCTGTGGCAGTTTCACATTACAACAAACTTTTTAAATGTCTCTATTGTTCTAGTTGAATTCTAGGTCTTCCGTTTTCTGCTCAATACAGGATGAGAATGACATAGGACATCGCTGGTCATGTGTTGGCTTCAAAGACATCCCTCTTATTGAGGATGCATGTTGCAAGTGTGGAGAGGAAAACTCCTCTTTAAAAAGTAGAAACCTTGAGCAGGACCCGGCGTAGTGAATGACCCTGAGCCACGAGCGAGTTAGGGTTTAAGAAGTTAAGACATATGCACAAAAAGCACTGATCCAGGAAGGCTTCCACATTAATGACATTTTAAAGGGTAATGGCAGTTTTTGCTCTTTTAGTACTATAAGTTCTGATGCAGTTTTCAAGTCCAAAACATGAAATAGAACACATGCAGCTAACTGCAGCAAAGCTCAGGATAGTATTTCAGTTATAAATGGGGGGTTAGACAATGGAAGACTAGGGCAAGGATTGTTTAACGAACATTAACTTGTTGGCAATAGCAGATCAGCTAATGCCCCCTCCAGGAAAGTTGGAAAAAATGCCAACCCAGATGAAGTTAATACAAAGGAAACAAAGCAAAGAGAAAAACATGACATCTGGAAATATTTTGTATTATTTACAATTAATTCAGCGCACCCTCTATTGGCCATTCTCTGATGCCATTCCAAATCCTCACAAACATCTAGAACAGACGTAGGACCCCCAAAGTAGTTTTCCTCAATGTTCACAGATCCTTGCTCAAGTCATTTATGTCCAGTGGGAGCAACAATAGTCTCATGTATGGCTTTGCAGAAAGCACAATGAGAAAGCAAACAATGCCAAATAATAACAAAATCAAAAATTAAAAACTCTGGTTTTGGTCTGGAACAAACAATAGTATCAAAGGCATTTTCTTGTGTAAATAAACTCTAAAATTAGCTCCTATATAGTATTTTCTTATTTAAAAATATAAATGTGTTTATTGGATAGAAAATTGGCACAAGCATTGAATTCTTGGGTACTCAACAACTAACAATGGAGTTTAATTCAATTTAGTTTATAGTTTAATTCAGTTCCTTACTCATAAGAAACTAAATTGCTGGTGTCATGCGCTGTCTTTTTCTGAAATGTTATTTAAGTGATGGAGAACTCAGGGTATGAAACCAAAGTTAGAGAAGAAAGGTTTATGAGGTAATACTGGTATTTCTTCAAACTCACAATATTTTTTTAAGGACTCAGATTCAGTCTGTTATAATTATTCGATTGTTGGTTTTAGAAAGTGTGATATTGCAGCAAAATTATGTAAATAGCTTTCACTGTGACAAAATCTACTTATGTATATCTTATTCTGGATATTTCTTTTTTATATTTAAGGGTCAATTAACTATTACATGAGAGAATAGTGCTTTATAGACAATGTACAAGGGTGTTCAAACAGCTGATAAGATGATTACCAAACCCCACAAAGTCCCACTTCAAAGCTTTTAACATAATCAATTGTTTATTTATTTTATTTCTTTAACTCTGCTCCTCCAGCATCTAACAATTTTTAAAAATAGCGGTTCAGGTCGCAGTACTCAAAACAAAAAATAAATGGAAATTTCACTTTTAAACTTGGTCAAGCATGATCTTTTTGTAGCAGCAGATATAAAACTGTTTGCTGTGACAGCCCTTTGCAACTAGATGGAGCACATGATCTAAAAAAAAAAAAAGATGTTTCAAAAGAAGAAAAAAAAATACTTAAACTTAAACAGTCATACTATCATATGCTCTCTCAATATTCTTACCACCACAACGGAATGTAGATCAGGCCAGAGACAGCCATGGGAATCAGTAGCATCCGCCAATCACGGAGAAAGAAGGCTGCAGCAGGCATTGCCATGTATCCCAATGCTGAGCTCATAAATACTCCAAGAGAGCTGAAAACCACTCTGGTTTTAGAGCTTAGAAGTTCAGCTCCTGTTGGGAGAGGCCATTTGTTTATGGAAAAATGTCACAACCTTTAACTTGATGTCGCATTCTGAAAACCTGAGGTTTTGTTATACCTAGAAATATCTGACTTTCCAGGTCAGCTTAGGTTGTAAAATGTGATACAAATACAGATATATAGACAAAACAGACACTATGTAATAAATCAAAATTCATACCCAAAACATATGCAATGACATAGTTGGAGCATTCTCCGGCACCCACAATAAAGTAGATTAGAAGAAAGGCCTCCCAGCTTGGAGAGAAGATCTGTGCTGTGAGCCCCACAGTTTGAACAGCCATCATGATAAAAAGGAGGAGCTTCCTTCCAAATCTGTTGAATAAGCAAAGTTCTTGTTTTCCTACCAAAGAATTGAAGTGATTGGTAGAATAAATATCAACATGTTCAATATATACATACCTGTCAGACAGATGGCCTGAGAACAGTACTCCTAACAACACGCCAATGTAATGAATAGCAGTAGTCAGTGGATTTTTGTATCGATTCTCACATACCAAGTCCCACTGCAAAGTCAGACACATCTTCTCGTTCATTAAGCAGCTATTTGTTACAGGCTTGATGATTCATTTAAACAAAAATAAAGTGTATTTAATCTACATCTAAATTTGAAAAATTAGATTTTTATTTAGTGGTCAGAGACAATTACAATAAAAATACAGTTAATTTCTAGCACTGTAAAGCCCTTCAACGTAAAGGGCTGGTGTACAAGAACACACACACCAATATACAATGAAGAAAATAGGTATCTGACACCCTGCTATTTTGCAAGTTCTCCTGCTTAGAAATCATGAAGGGTTCTGAAGTTGTCATCGTAGGTGCATGTGTCTCAGCGACTGTCCAGGAACCTCACTGATCTAGAGAAATCTGCGTGGGGGAGTGGGCCAAAATCCCTCCTGCAGTGTGTGCAAATCTGATGAAAAACAAAGGCTACCATACTAAATATTAACATTGATTTCTCAGGTGTTCACATACATATTTGCAGCGGTATCATACAAGTAAATTGTAAAAAAAAAATCATGCATTGGGATTTCTGGATTTTTTAAAGATTAGGTCTCTCAAAGTAGACGTACACATTCGATTACAATTTCAGACCCTCCATGATTTCTAAGTGGGAGAACTTACAAAATATCAGGGTGTTCAAATACTTATTTTCTTCACGATATATATATATATATATATATATATATATACATATATATATATATATAAAACAAGAACATTTGAAGCACAGCTTAAACAAATAACTCACAAGTCAGGAAGAAATTGTGGGTTCAAACATTTCTAAAAAATTAAGAGTTGGAGACTGCCTGACCACCAACGGCAGTATGTTGTCTGCAATTTAGGAGCTAGTACTACAAAAGCCCTCTCCTCTGGATTTTTTACAGAGACTTTGGGACAGATAGAAGTAGCTGAAGACAGAAAAGGTGTGAAGAGATGGAGCAACTCATATGAATAGGAAGGGGCTAGCCCATGCCAAAACCGGAGTTGTGTGCCACGTTACTTTTACATTCAAAAATGATGCTGCAGCATTCTGTACCAGCTGTAGTTGTCGGTTTGAGGCTTGGATCTGTTTGGTGCCTGATTTTTCATAAGGGGCCAAAGAGGACAGATTAACTGAAGGAACATTGTTTGTACTGCTGAATTAAAAAAGCAAAACCTCTGTCTTCTTTTTCTACGAAACTGAGGAAATTTAGAGCCATCCATCAATTATCAATGGAATATGGGTGAGTAACCTGCCTTGATATGTTTACTTATTTTAAATTTTTTTAACTAATGGCAACATTAACAGACAAAAGGGAACCTAAAAAAAAGAAAAAGGATTTTAACCAATAAATATATATGAAACTTTAAGACATCTTAAACAAACAAAGTCGCTTCAGGACCCGAGCAGTGTCCAAACATAAAAAACCCTGAAGGATTCTCACATGACATGGTATATTTTTGTCACATAGCAAAAGCCCATGGGAGTTGTCCTTGACATTTGTGATATTTTCAAGCACAAATTCTCAAAGTCATGTATAGGTGCTAAATGGCATCCATTTAACACCTAAATATGGCTTCAATGGTCATGAATGTTTGTATCTTTCAAGTTATAATGGAAGGAGAAGCATTAGATGTTCACTAGAGACATAAATAGCTCTATTGAGTAAATAAGGGCTCTGTGCTGACACAATTTAAAATGAGCAGTTCTAAATGCATTTAAGGTGCAGAACTTTGTAAAGTTCAGCTAGGGTCATTGTCTTCACCTACTCAAAGACAAAAGTGTGCATTACATGGATTTTGTGGAAAAAAATACTGCTTAATGCTTGTATTACTACTGGCACTGTTGCACTTGTATTTAAATGAATTTAAGATCATATAACAAAAATCCCTTTCTTATATCTTAGCCAGCTTACAGTAGGTCCGAGAAGACACATCTAATTAGCTTGTCACATGGGTGATTCTAGACAGGGGCCATTGGTGGCCAGTGCCCCTCTAGAACTGGTCCTGGCCCTTGTTATTACCCTGACAACATAATACTTAATCATTTATTAATGATTATGATGATATGGGTAACTGATTGGTCTCTTGGAACAATTTCAGTATTTACTTTTAAAGTTTTACTTCCGTAATGATTTTTAAATCAAGGTGTTGCCCTTTTAGCTTTAGCTGAATAGAAATCAAAGTTCTCACCATCAGGGGTCCGCAAATTTCAAGTTAAAAAAAATAAATTGTTCTTTATTATTTTGTTCTGTGTCTCTAATAATAAAAAAAAAATTAATAAGACTAAATGAATCCAGTAATCAATGGTTCAAAAGTTCAAAAGTATAAAATACAAAGACGTTGCTGTCCTTTTCCCCCACTAAGATATTAAATAAAAATATAAAAAAAATGCATAAAAACTACAGTCCTTAATAAAGCAGATCTACTCCTTTTTGTGAGATACATATTTTTATGCTCACCTCTGTAACAATAGTTGACTGATAGATTGTTTTGCTGTAAGTCCATCCATCCAGACACGTCTCCCAGGGAATTTCACTTACGTTCACATCAACATTTGGGATGAAGTTCCTTTGAGAGTAGTTCCTTACTGCTTCCAGGTTAAGCCTCCAGCACGAGCTGCGCTTTACAACACCATCAACCTTTTCCAGCGGAATTGTTACATTTCTCCACATCTCACTGATGGTCACGTTCTCAGGGATGTTGCATTCATGAGGAGGGGTGTCACCAACAAAGACGATGTACACACCAACGAATCCATTTGGAATAATGCTGATGGCAAGGGCTAAAAAAATCCTTCTTTGAAAAGGACCCCAGGATCCAAGGAAAGATGTCATGGTTTCATAGTCCCTCACTTTTTGGTTATCCATTTTCTTGCTCAATTTCCTAACAAATTCCAGAAAAACACAAACAGATTATTTGTTCGTAATTATGTTATTCCCTCAAAATGAGCTTAAATTTAAATGCCACTTTTAGTTATTTTGGGGTCCCTGCTACACACAAAATGTTACTAAGAAGGTTGAACCCATTTGCCCTCTGTTACAAAATGTAGATGGGATTAACTTTAGTGGCTGCATGAAGATATGCCAAGTAAATTACTTTGAAGATCATTTTAGATCTAGGGATATTTCTAGCAGAACTGCTGCATCACCTGCTGCTTCTACTGAGCTTTATTGCCAAAGCACATTCTTATAATGAGCCCAGTCCCAGCAGGAAGCCTTTCCATGTTGTCATGTGCAGCACAGACATTGCAGTTGTTTCAGTCAAAACCAGACAGAAGTAAGAGAAAAAAAAAATAGATTGTTAGCTAGAAGCAAAGTTACATTCTGGTAAAGTAGTTTGGGCTTAGGTTGTTTTCCTTTTTACTGGTAAAAACTATGAATGTTTAAAGTAGTAATGTTTATGGTAGCTAGATAAGTACATTCAGTTATAGGACATGTAGGTCACACATGTATGGGTAAATCCAAGGAATTTTAAATACACCATTTCACAATCTGCCAAAAGCTGCTTTTAATCATTTTTCTCATTTTAAATCATCAACCCAAATAAAAGCAAAGAAGCAGGTTTGCATTCTTTTTCCTTAGTGTGCCCTTTTAAATCTATGGTTTATGAAATCTTAAATAGATATCCCATCTCTAACTCTCACATTTATTGCTTTAAGTTTTTTTTTAGAAAGGCATAAATGCTTGAGATTAAGCTGAGACAGGACTGACCAAGGGTCAAAACTAGCCTCAAGAATAACTCACAAAAAACAAGGGTTGTTGAACAATGTTTGCAGGCATGCATCCAAATGAAATCAGAAGCTTTTGTACATATTGAATTGAAAGTCATCATTGTAGTATTGATGTCATTGAAGTTTTTTTTTTCTTTTTTTTTTTATAGAACTTACTTAACAGGAAAATAATTTGATATCATTCTGAAAACCCAAATTACATTTGGGTTTTGATTTAGAAATAGCCTAATCAGTTTGTGAGACTTGTATTTAAAAATGATAAATTACAAAAAAACAATTTTTTTGATTGAGAGTCATGGTTGCAGCAAAGTTGCTGGTTGGAAATGGCAAAATAGAAATACAATTTATTCTTACTACAAGTGAAACCTGTAACACCTGTTGGCTATTTGTTCTCCTTTCTTCCTCTCCAGATCATATTACAATGCAACCTTGAAGATATGGCAAAAGGTTGTCCCACATTATCTCACACATACATACCTTTGGGTCCAAAATATTATTGGCTGAAATGTGACCATCTAAAATAACAGCAAGCATGTGTCTATGCAGTGTGAGTTGCTGTAGTTGGTCATGTTACTGAGGAGTAAAACAGCAGAGATGCTGGCTTACAATGAGCTCTTCAAAGGAACCAACAGCTGTGTTAAACAGGGTATAACTACACAAGCAAGACTGGAGCAGATCTTTTACATTTGTTTGTAGTGCAGTGAATAACTGCACCAATCCTTTTTATTGTAATAATACATATTATCATATTTCCAGATACTGACATTACAGCTAAATCATTCAGCTGGGATATAGATATGTTTAGCTGTTTCAGCCCATTTTACATTTATTTTTTATAATTAACCATACAGGCTTGATTGGTTACATAATGAGGAGTAATAAAGAAAAAAATTATAACTTACCAAATTTGAGCTGCAGTGGGGCGATATCCTTTTAAAACCTATTTCTTGAGGTAACTTAGCATTAAGAGCAACTGATAGACGTATTGAGGAAATTGTTTTTAAACTGTCGCTGCTGTCGCTTGGCCCATAGATATAAAATGTTCTGGTGGCCAGTTGTTGGTTCACGCTGTGACCATCAACACCACGAAGAGACCACACTCTCCATTTAGTACCGTCTGGATCTTAAGCGTTCACAGCTAAATTTACACGTGTCGTTCTCCCACAATAACCGGGCCTAATGTGATATAAAACATCAGCACATTTCATGATATCTGTAATTTCAATCCACCCTGTTTGTCTCCATGGTGCTATAGTTACAGAAGAACTTTAAATTAATTTAAGCAGTTTTCAACATGATTCATAATATCTGGAAACTTTTCATCAAACATGTATGTATTCTATCTTGCCTGAGGCATAATTTAAAAGTTACACAGGGATCAATTTTTCTATGCAATCATCAAAAGTTTACAGAATATACAAACGTGGAAGAGATTGTTGGTACCCTGCATTTCATGAAAGAAAAGAGCTACAATGGTCATAGAAATTATTGTATCTGACCAAACATTCTATGAGAATAAAAAAATGGAAGTCAAATAATGATTTTCCACTATACTTCAACATAATTTTTAACTCATGAATCAGACCCGGAAAATAAAGAAAATAATGTAACTAAAGGGACATGTTAAATCAAGGTGTGTCCACTAATTAGCATCACATGTGTCTACAGCCTTGTAATTATTCAGTGGTTCTGGTGTCAGGTGTCACTGGGCTGTTTGGTGACATGGTATGTACCACACTCAACATGGACCAGAAGAAGGAAAATAAAGAGCTGTCTACGGAGATTGAAAAAAAAAGCATAGACAAGCATGTCAAATAGACAAGCAGCTTGATTTTTTAATGTGACTACAGTTGCACATACTATTCATAAATGTAAAATCCATGGGACTGGACTGACCAACCTTCCTGGACCTGGAAGAAGGGGGGAATTGGTGCCAAATCGAAGAAATGGATAATATGAAGGGTATAGCAAAATAGCCCAGTAAAAGCTTCTTTAGATATTAAGGCTAAATTTCAAGCTCAAGGAAAATCAGTGTTAGGAAAATACTAAGTTAAGGGTATCATTGCTTTTCAAGGGTCATTTTTATGAGTTTATATATTTTTTTATCATTCTGTTGAGGTATGGTCAAAATGCAATGTGCGACTATCATAATTTGAATTTCAGAGGATTTTTATTTGTTAAAAAGTTTATCAGATTAGGTATTCCTCTTACCATTGTGGTTTATTTTTCTTTCATGTTTATTTATTTATAGAGCACACTTAAAAACAATCAACAGAAAGCCCAAGGTGCTGAACAACTGACAGGCATGAAATGGGATGCCAAAACATCCCAACAAGTTTTTGCCATATTGAATTCTTATACTCTGGATAGTAAGAGACCCCAATCTTTTCAAGCCGCGATTCCAAGGTGGATTTCTGTGACATTTTTCTGACTTTATTCTGAATTATGATTGTAGATAACATGTTTGTAAAGTAAATACAGTTTTTCACAGTGTTTCAGAAATTTAGTTTTCAAGCTATAAGGACAATTGGACAATAGGAAAATAAAAAAACCGTTAAGATAATTTTAATTGAGGATGTTTAAGTGTGTTAAGCCCTAATCATATATGCATGTTGTATGTCAGAAGTAATGTTTTCCCGAGTAGTTGATCTAATTGGGACAGTTCCTCTGTCAAGATAAGAAGTCCTCTTCATTATGCTTGTAGTAAAGATTTTAGGAATGGAAAAAGAGCATTGTGTAATATTTTGATAAGGCTGAAGTCATGGATGTCTCCTCATTTACAGATGTGTATGATGTAATAATGTGATGATGTGGCAACCTGGAGTTGTATAAAATGCTTCTTTAAAAGTGATTCGGGTCCACTTCAATGACTTGTGAGCCCGGTTGGTTAGTGCTTTTTTCTGTAACTCAAAGCAACTTCTCTGTCTGAGAAAGATTATAATTTAGTGCATATACATTATGAAGAGTTATTTAAAGAGCTTTCCTGAGTGATCTCTTCTTTCAATTTATATAAGAACCAGAGAGAGGAAGCTTCAGGGTGTAAACGCAGAGATTTCCTTAACACAAATTAATACTAAAAACTGAAAACTCGTTTAACAGTGACCAAATAGCAACAGACATTTCCTGAGTAAGGATGCTTTTCCAGGCCTGGACTATCTTCACAGATACAGTACACATGGTGCTGTTGTATAAACAAAATTAAACTGTTATTAAAATACTCCAAAGATAGATCGGAATGGGGTCGCAGTGTGGCACTGTGTGTAACACTGTTGCCTTGCAGCAAGAAAATCCTGCAGAATACATTAGTCAGACATTCAGTCATTCCTACATTGCAGTCCATGCATGTAACAGACACAAAAACTGTATTTCTTTGAACCAACCAAAAACTTTACATTTACATTACATTAAATTTGTTTGCCTGCTGCCAAACAATGAGTTTTTCCCTTCCATTTCTGTTACTATTGGATGTGAACTGTTCATTTAACAGATGTGATCAGGAAGGAAAATTATTGATACAGAAACATTGTTAGTTAAATTGCAACGTGATATGTTTGATATTTAGGAATGAAAAAGTAAGTAAAGAATCTATCTATCTATCTATCTATCTATCTATCTATCTATCTATCTATCTATCTATCTATCTATCTATCTATCTATC